AAACTCTTATGAAGTTATGTAATTTCTATGAAGCTTGAAGGCATTAAATTTTAACTGTAATAAAATAAATCAAGAGTTAAGGCAGTTATTATTTGCTTTAGTATAGAGCGTGAATTCGTTATTTTATCTTTATGGTCGGTGAATTTTTGTGAGAAATTTACAAATTCTCACGTTTTTTGGACTCTTTATGTATCTATGAGTATAGCATAAATGTAATTGTAACGTCAACGTTAAGGAACTTCTAGAAGAAAAACAAATACTTTATGAAAATAATCTGGAAAGGTTAATTATAAATTAAATAACTTTCCTGATAGAAGATATTTAAAAAACTAGATGATTACTGGTGAAAAATAAAAAAATAAAAAAATAATAAATATCTTAACGTATGTTCCACAAAAAAAAATTGACAGCGTAATACCTATATCATAAAGTTTTTTTTTTATAGCAAATCATCAGTAATTTTAAAAAATAGGTCAAGAATAATAATAATAAGAATAAAAACTGCGCTCGTAATTCAGATTATTAAAATGCAAAGCAAAAGAAAGGAGAGAGAGAAATTATTTGAAAAAATGGGGTTCTTCAAAAAGGTTTAAGGTAAAGAGGTTTTTTCAGGATCGGCAACGCGCGCGTATTGCAGGCATTCAAAGGCTACGGTAACCACTTACTATTACGTGGGACGTATGCTTGATTGCCACCTACGTAGTATACAAAAAAAACTATATTTGGCACAGATTTTTTTTTCAATAAAACATTGTACAAAGCATGCATGTAAGAATTTTTTGCCATCACCATACGGATATGTAAATACCATACTGACGAAAGTATGAAAATATACCAATAAGAATATTTTTTATATATCTATGCATTTAATAAAAAATACTTCTTTGTATGCATGTAATGCCAATAAAATATTCCATTGTACTGTGAGTGCCATCTAGCAGGAATATAGCGAAGTTATATACATCACAATATTCTGTAACACACATATAAACTTGTCGATGAACGTAACGCTTACACGTTCACTTCCAATACTCACACAGACGTATAGACATAGAAAAACAAGCATTACGCACTCATACAAACGCAAGTTGTTACAGCCTCTTACGTGAAGAACGTAAGCGACTGCGGAACTCAAGATGGCTGACATTGGCAATGGCGGGTCATTGAACCATGCGCGCGCTCAGCCTTCGAAGCTTAGATCTGGTATTAGAGAGGTTGTTATTTTCCGTCATGTTTTTATTTCACTCAGAAGTTGTTTTGTGCTACAATGTTTTTTGTTCGTCTATATAAGTATTATTCATTTAGAACTGCTGATAGTCTCAATTTCATCATTACGATGTTTTATTGAGCAAATTTAATTATTCAGTCACCTATTGATACATCGATATAAACGCCTTTTCTTCACTTACAGGGCTAGTAAAAGAAGATATGTACAATACACTTATCTATAGCTCATTATTGTATTATTAAAAATCTGTAATAGGTTTGAGTATAATCTGTAGCAGATTTCTATAGGACTAAGTAGTTTACCTTATTAGGAACTATAATAGATATCAAGACGAAGAAGTGCTGTTCATAAATCATAATTGTAAACGTAAAAGTTATAATGAGAACATGAATAAATATTATCGCTCTGAGCTTATCTACGTCTATAAATCCAATTACTATTAGGTACGCTATAACCATCAGATAAGGTTCTCAAAGATTCTCTGTTGCATAAAAACTGTTGGACAGATCCGGATTGATAGAACGCGGTAGTAAGAAAGGTAATTTGAAAAGAACAAGAACGTGGTGTTTTGCGGTAGTGGCGCCGCTGAGCGGCTGCCGGCCACAACCGCGGAATGTAGCTCAAGCTAACGGTGCGCGCGCGCCGCGAAAAAACTCAAGTTCACTATCACGGTAGATTGCGCGCCGCCATTACCGCGCGGTTACGTTGTCGTCGGCTAAGAATTATGCGGACTATGTAACTTAACATATTACACAAGATGCAAGAAAAATATATATTACTCTCTGTTTAATCCAATATGATTAATTTGTTAACTACATTTTAATACATTCAAGTTATTTCAGTTTCTAACAACCATTTTATAAATTAATTAATTTAGAATATGAATTTTAGTATTATATTTTATGATCTAAACTAATGTTATATAGAGTATAAAGTTTTGAGTTTAGAAACTACCGGTTTAATTTTTTTTTTATTTAAAGAATACTACATTCTCAGCTACTAACATAATAGGATCTTTTTTATTTTAAAAAAGCGTGCAAAGCCAGGATTAGCCGCTGGTTATTTCACAAATGTACATATTTTTATATAAAATGAATAATATTTGTATTTAAAAATAAGATAGAGTAATTAGATAAATGGAGATTTTTGTAAAGGCAGCGAATATGTTCTAAATAATAATATAAATACTCCATCTTATTTTATATATAGATATATATATAAACTATATCTACCTGTGTACTTATAATCTACTTTGTAAAGGTTTCGTCGTTATTTTTCTTACAAAAAAATTTTATATACTAATTAAATAATGAAAATCAATTGAAGTTATATAGTAGTTATAGTAATTCTTTGCTTCTATGTTTATATACAAATGCAAAAATTAAATTAAAAAATGGGATAAAAACGATATATCGATGTTAGATCAAAGAAGTATTACAAACTTTTCCACGAATAACCGCTAATAATTACTGTCATCTAAAAATGGTAAGAATAGTAATTATTACAGAAACATAGGTTTTTGTTTTGGTTCACACTGACATTAGATTCGCTCTCGTAACGAAGCTGACTGTTAGTTATAAGAAACATCCGGTAGGCTTGTTACGAATAGAAGCAATGGAAAAATATGTCAGGGATCCGTAATAAAATCAGGAAACGCTATAATATTTAATTTAGTCAATCTCTGCATTATTATTGGTGATTCGTCAAATATTGTATTTATATATCTTTCATCTCTATCATCAAGTATTATTTAAATGAGTTTCTAACGATTAAGTCATTCATTAGACTAATTTTCCTTACTCATTTAATATACAAGAATTATATAATAAAGTTTTGTAGAATACCATTAATGCTGACGATTAAATCAGGTATCTAACACAAAAATATTTTTTCAGGATCAGAAGGTGATATTATATATCTCGTGTTAAAGGTATAAACTTTACAGTAACATATTGTACAGTAATATTTTGGAGATGGATACTGCCGTGTAGTTCCAACTGTATGTCGAGACCACACAGAATGGGCGTCGCCTTTCTTTCCCATGGGTAATCGTAAGAGGCGACTAAGGGAAATTAATGATCGAGGGATGGGCAGTAGCGTCTTCCTTAAAAATCACCAAAAGTCAAACTGCGATTGCCAATCTGCCTGCCAGGCATGGCAACTACCAGTAAAATTCTCCCCAGTAGTAAACTGTCATAAGGAACGCTCTCGTTTCTTAAGGTAGTCCATGAGAGTTCAGTTCAGCAATGAATAGATAATGGCTGAAATGATGATGATGATGATTTTGGAGATCACATTGAAAATTTTGATGTCCATGTTATTTCACTAACATCTCTTGAAGATTATATAGTTATGTCTTTCGGGCTAGAAATTTTATTGATTTTATGACCTTTCGGATATAAAACACGAATTTTGCTTTCGCGGATTTTTCGGTCAGTACCTTTATTACTGTTTGTAATTGATAAAATATGTAAATAAAAATAGTTTAATACTTTTTATACAATGACATCTATATAATAAACTATTGTGATTTTAAAGTCAATGTTTAGAATATAAATCATTAAAGTAGCAAATTTTAAAAATTATAGTGTTTAAAAAATACAGAACCCTATGTTTTTGTTGAAAATTTGTTTTGTCAAGAATTTGTGGGCAATATTATCTGGAAGTATTCAGTATTATGACTGTTATGACGTGGGAACTGGCATTGTTCTATCATGTATAATGGTGGGTAAACATGCTTACTCTTAATACGTTAATTATGACAACTTTGTACGTATATTTTACTTGCGTGTACACTAAACACCCATATACAGATTATGAATGAATTGTTTAAGACAGTGATAGATTGGATTCAAATGATCGTTATGGCATTGTTTTATTCTACAAGTTCTTTATCACGGTAATTTCTAATAGCTGTGCTTGAGATTTCGTTCGTTTAAATTAATAATAAACTTCCATCACTATTTTATTTGTACAACATTTTTTCACATAAAATTATTTTATGTACAGTTTTGTCTTTGTTACGATTCTATTCTATGTGTAAGGACTCGGATTTTATTATACCTATATGTAAATTATAAAAAGACCTAATGAATGCAAATTGCTTTATTTGTAAGTACTTCAGTTAAACATTATTCCACGGGGACGTATTTATAGAATAAAATATCTTATACGTTAATCTGAACTTAATGTATGTGTATTTTGTAGTTCTATATCTGTTTAATTTATATGTGATTATAAGTATATATCTTTATGTCAACATCTTCAGAATAGATAATTCAAAACACTTAGTTCATATCGAATGGTTTTCTACTATTATAAATTAAACCTAATAATCATCCCTTATTGGCATTGTACATAAAACACAAACAATAAAAGAAACGCAAATAATTACAATAGGTTTACTTTCGATTAATAGGAAACCATAACAATTAATATAAAAATGACAATCATACTAGATATGTATATAGTTAAATATTTCAAATTATTTAGTTTGTCAAGATATATAGGTATAGTTACTTCTAAGTAACTTTTTATAAAAAATTTGAAAATCATAAAGAAATGAATTACAATGAAATTAAAGCTTGATGGATAAATAAAATAAAAGTGTAAATTTGTCGCCTTTTGCAGTTTTGTATAGAGACGTTTTTAAAGACGTCATACGTACAAGTAAGTACGATATACCTGTTATAAGGAATAGTGCACGAGCGTGGGAGTCCGCCGCAGGTGCGGCGAGTGCGTTTCCTACTCGTCCAGCAGATGCATTTGCCATAGATCACTGTTGTATTAGATCTGAAACAAATCTAGCTATCAATCTATTAGTTCTTACAAGCAGATGTAGGTATTACATAGATATTTACCAGATTAATATAATGTTATTTACTAGTATCTACTTTTAAATGTAGTTTTATTTATGTGTATATATTAATGTCTAATATGATAATGTGATAAAGCTTGATTGATTAATCACTGTTTCAATTATTGTAGATACTTAATTAAACAATTTTTTTTTTATACTAATGAGGTGGCAAACAAGCATACGGTCCACCTGATGGTAAGCGGTTACCCATGAACGACGCATTACCAGGAGTATTACGTGCGCGTTGCTGATCCTGAAGAAACTTCTTTACTCCCCTTTTGAAGAACCCATGCTGTAGTCTCTTGAGAAAACCTCGACAGGGAGCTCATTCCATAACTGAGTGTTCGTGGGAGAAAACATCTTAGGAATCGCGTTGTACGCGACCATTTAGGCTGTAGGGTATGAGGGTGAACTTTCTTAATATAGTAAATTCTTTATATTGCTATCTGTATCATGTTATAATTGGGTTACTATTGTTATGTTAGACTTATTAAAAAAACGTTATACTTTTAAATACATAATCAGGACTTAACGCGATGTAAAAGTCTTTACAAATAAGTAGTACCTACATACCTGTTTCTTTATTGCCGACGTTTCAACGTAGATTGCACCACGTAGAAGCAGGTATGTAGATACTATTTACCTGTTAAGGCTTTCACATTGCGTTAAGTCCCGATTGTGTTTTTAAAATATGCGTAAATAACGCGATAGTTTAAAATTAACTATCATTATAAATGTTGATATTATTTTAAAAGTAAGTCACTTTTGAAACTTAAAAATTTGCTTTCACAGTTTTGGTAATAATTACTGCATATCATACAATATTTTTGGAAAATCATCTCCAGTAAAGGTTTGTTGCCTGTCTGATGTTTGTTTATATCTATGCATACTCGCATAATAATCTGATATCTATGGCTTTTTGCTATATGGTTAGATGTTCTTGCTAGTAATATTGGTATTTTTAAGTGTATGTACACTTGAAAATAATGCAGACTTTTTTTATCTTTTATCAAAATTGTTTCCTAGTACAAAAAATTACTTTACATAAAATGTACGTAAATATTCTCTATACAAATAATTGTAAATAAAAATAAAACCTTATACAATCACACCTGTTCAATCAGGTTATTTCAATAAAAGTATTTTTTTCAATGTAAAATTTGATACACAAGGTGCAAAACATAAAGAAACTGAACACCTTATTAGCATCCCACGCCCGCAGCAATCCTTCCGCTCAAAACAAAGAAAAATCAATATGCGATAATAAGGCTCAAAATTACGGACTTAGAAATTCATTCTTGACCTACCATCAGCTGCCTTATCGACCCATATGTTACAAAAATATGGGTCAATTATTATAATATTGCTTCTGAAATGTAAGATTTAACATTACAGACTTAGAAGCTATTATTGTGTCACTTTTACTTTTACGTCTCTATTGCTTCGCTCCGAAATGGACAGTTGTAATGAATCTTTTAGAACAAGGGAACGGATTGGTTATTATTTTGTATTTAGATGGGACAGCTGCAGGTGTCTAAAATTGGTCATTTGTTAAAAGTAATCTAGATGCACCGCATTGAGTTATTTTCCACATTAAAAAAGAAAGTGTTTCTGAAAATAATGGCTTTAGCACTGAATGAAATAATAGTGCTATAATTTTACGTCCTTTTAACTTTGATTGAAATTGATAATTTGCATAAATTAATAATATATATCTATAATAATATTAATATAGAAAGGTAAGATATATGCCATAATTTGATTACTGAATTATTTAATGAACATAATTTGTAGCAACCGAAACACTTAAAATCAAAATAAATAAAAAACCTAGTTAATAATGAATAATTGTCGGCCAAGACTTTTTTGTTAAAATACATTTTAAATTAAATATTAAAACCACAGTGTGACTGTGTTTGTTGAATTTGTGTCTAAGTTATTATCCGACAAAATAAAACCTTTATTTTCTCCTCCGTAGGTAAAAATATTTCGACGGACAAAAAAACGTATCGAAGGTATTCCTTCTTAATTTCTCTTCTTCTATCGTATAATTATATTATGAAACCTTAAGGATATTTTAGTTTTTAAGATTAATATACAAGATAAAAATACAAATATATATTTTATATTATACAAAATTGCATGTATGACGCAAAATATTAAATATTAAAAAATATATAAGGATATTTAATAAATTTAGAAATATATTGTAAATCAGTTTATAGGTTTATTTATATAATTGTTAACAAGAGATTAATTAGTAATTACAGTTAAGGTGTATATGGATATAAGGTGTGTAATATAGAAATATAACGATATTTCCATATTAATATTTAATCAATAAGTGACTGTTTGACACATATGTATAAAATAATCCTAATTTTTATGTTTGTGACAGTTTGATTTTTAATATGTTTCTGTTCGCTGTTTATTTTCTTTGTAAAAATAGACATAATAATAATCATTCGTAATTAACAACAGATTAATTATGAATGCTTAATATTGTATTAGCTGACGAATCCTTTAACATAATGACAGGTCACTACTATCTGGTGACTTGTAACACAGGTTCTTCTAAACCTACCGCAAGCACCTGTCTCTCACAAAATTGGTCTTCATATCAAATTGTACCTCAAGTTGTTACTTTATTCTACCTTTTGTGAAGAGAAAATAAACCATTCATTCATTCATTCATGAACAAAAAATAATAACCATCATAAACAGTAAAATATAATGAAATTAAATTTGTTGAGATTTTCAACCGATTTCCAAAAGAAGGCGGTTCTAAATTCTGTTGTATTTTTTTACGTTTGTTATCTCATAACTTCATAAATTATTAACCGATATGGAAAATGATTTTTTATCTGAAAGGATATACGATCGATCTCATACAAAATTAAACAAATTCGGATTAATAGTTTAGTTATTAAATCAAAATAACTGGTTTTGTCACAACTGTAGTCGGTTTTCATGTAGGTATATTTTTTTAATTTTCAGATATAAGATTATAATGAGGTTGTGTCTAAGTAGAGTGTTAATATATTAAAGTTTTTTTTTTTATGTAAACATCAATCATTTCATGTATTCCCACGAACATCATTTGCTTTCCCTTTTTTTTCTATTAATAACGTGCTATATTTTCTAAGGTTTTTTATTCCAATAGTGAAGAACACATAAAAAGTCCCTTTCGATTTCCGTCCAGGCGCCATCTGCCTTTATTCCTGTCATGTGTTTGTTTAGATTTATATTTTTTCAATATTCTCCGAGATTTCACCGGAAGTCCCTGGGGTCTGTCAATGAATATGGTTTAACATTTAATTTTATGCATTATAATAGACCCAGGGGATGCTTATGAATTCTTGGCTGGTCATTAAATAGTTCAGATTGAAATGAAGAGAAAGAAACAAAAAATCCAATGAGTTTTTTTAATTTAAGGTTGTAATGACGATAAATTTGTTTCCCAACCAGACAATGGAATATGAGCCGTATGTACGTACGTATACGTAAATTTTAAAATACAACTGCATAATTTATTAATATTTGCTACACTGTTGGACTATTAAAATTTTTATTCAAATATTTAAAATAACAATACTGTAACAAAAAGTAAACTAAACTAATTATTTTCATGACGAAGTAACTTCATCTTTTTACAAAAATCTAATCTGATGAATAGTTTGCATTGTTTTAAATTTGATAATTAGTATGTAGTTTAGATTATTCTTTCTCTTACAGCTATAAAGGATACATTGTTTTTACCATAGTCACTCTCTGTCATAAGATTTTAAGAAAGTTTTATTATACAATATAAACACATTCCTTAGCGTGAAAAAAGGAAACATTATCGTCAGAAAGGAGGTAAAGATCAAGGAAGCGGCTTCTTTTGACTTTCTTAACAAGTATTATATAATACTTTCTTAGTTATGATAAGATTTTGTACAAAAAAAGAATAGTGTCCATGCAGGTAAGTGTAGATGAATAGAAGTTTGATTGTCAGCTATTGTCATAAACGAAATTTAGTTAACTACATACATGTTTATACCTCATTCTATTTGTATAGTGTATAACTATTAGGTATATAAATAATTTAAATCAAGTAGAAAGAAACTTTTTTGTATTATGCAAATTATAAAATTTGTATACATACAATATATACGAGTATAGTAATTTAATGTATTTGGAAACAGTAGTTTACACATAAAGCTAAATATTAATTAATCTTGTAAAGTGGAATTAATCTTTTGGCTATATACCTATATATGTATATACTATGACATTTTACCTGCAATTTCATATGCTTCAATTCTGCAAGAAGGTGTTCTATAAAACGTGCGAAAAGTAAAGACGGTAGCAGATTTCGCGAGAAATGATGAATTGCAAATATCTCACACATATCGTATTTAGTCACCGGAAGAAACGCAACCCTTAAACACAAAAACTACAACTTTGAGGTAATAGTGTTTCCGAAAAATAAAAGGTCCGTTGTTTCCTGTATCCACTACTATTGATCATTTTGATAGATATACGTTCACTATCATTTATATCGGGATTGACAGGACAAAAATATTCATTTACTTCAATTAAAAGTAAAAATATTTACGTAAGTTAAATTAAAAATAAAGACATATTATTTACAAAATTCAAGATCATTAATAAATCAATTTGAATATTAATAAAAAAAACTACATTAAAAGTACAGTTAACTAAATCATTTAGAAAGAGCAATATCTCCAATTAATCTATTATTATTATAACATAGATATATGTATACAAATCTTTATAAATTACATTGACGTTATAAAATTTTATTTTTAGTACTTATTCTGTATAAAGTTGTGAATAAAATTAGCTACTAGTAAATACTTAATGGAATGTATATTAAGCTTATTTTAGTTTTTGTTTCCTTGAATCTAATAAACATAATAATGCAAAA